CCGTAAGAAGAACACAATGGGAAGTATAATCTTTTGATAAAGGCACCGCTTAGGGCAGTCAGAATAAGACAACAGCACATACAAAATTCCCTTGTGTTGTTGCTTAGGGCAACAGCACATACAAAATTCCCTTGTGTTGTGCAAACAAACATTCTGTGTCTGTATCGCTCCGCTCTGTGAGACATCACCACTGGCAGGAACATTAAAAGCTGTCGCTTAAGTGCTGAGGCTCACTGCTGCAGAGAGAGAGGGTGAGGGATTCTGGAAGAGGAGGGGGGAACTTGCAGTTGCAGTGCGTCCTGGTTTCAGGAACTCTTAGCCATGGCAGAAACTGCCCCAACTTCACGCTCTCGACTCTTCTTTATAGGGGAGCTGTTGGATCAAATCCCTGAGGGTGGCTGAGCTGATCTAACAGAAGCTGAACCAAACACTCTCCCCTACTGCCCACATGCTACACGGTGAAGAGCACAACACAGGGGCAATTGTCCAAGGGCAGTTCAGTTTAAGAAGTCACCATGGACTCCACTGCAGAGCAGAAAAATTTCCTCTACATTGCGAGGAAATTTTGGCAAGTGTAGGAGGCTTCATAGCATTTGGGCAGACTGTAAAACAAATATCTATTAATTGACTAATATTTACTTATGATTTTAGCACTTTATTATATAGGAATATCTAAAGATAAATCTTATATAAAAGACCTACTTTCAATCTTAGCAACCACTTAGCCTCGGTTTACTTTTGGTTCCCATGAGAAAAACCCCTAGGACCTCTTCTCTTCAAAAACAGAAATATGCTTTGGAAAGAACTGAAAAACCATGTCAGTTGAGAAAGGGGCAAGCCCCTGTCACTACATCTGCAGTGCAGACATTTTTCTGTTTGGGTTTTGCTTTCTTTTCTTTTTCCCCTAGTAAAAGGCAGCACAGAAAGGATTTGTCATAAGGATTGCTGTACCAGTGATTTTCACTGCAAGCACTAAATGTGCTTTTTCTTAACTGTATCTGAAGGAGAAAAAAAAAACATTAATGAATTTCAGAATTATTAGCTTTTTGGAAGAGCAAAATGAGTGATGTTTGTAGAAATTATGAGAAAAATATATGAAAATTGTTGTAGAAATAATCATCATCTTCTGCAGCGATACCTACAATGTAATCTGGAGAAGAATAAAAGGAAAAATAAAGGTAAATGCATATATACATATTTACATAATGCATATGTGTGTGTACCTGAAGATGATATTGAATATTAAGGTGTGTATAACAAGGTAGTCGTTTCTAGTGTATTTAAAAGGAATACTTTTCACTGAGTGACAGCAAGACAGAAATGTTATGTGTACACATGTTTATCATCAGAGATCTTTTTCTAACCTTATTCAGCTATGGACAACCTCACACTTGTTTTGGCCGTTACTGATTCAAATCTGTATATTATTTTTCTCTACATCAGAAGCCCACTATTTTTTGTTACTCCAGATTAGTTACAGTAGCTCTGGGGTTTCTCAGCTCTGAGATGCACTTCTGCAGTGTGTGATTACCCTGGTCAAATGCAAGTGGTTTGCATTCTACTAGTGGTGTGCACTCTGCAATTAAGAAATCCTGTCTCAGAAACATCCATCAGGTTTTCTACTCTAAAAAGCCATAGAATAATTAATTTTCATTAAAAACTACAGTAACAATATAGGTGTAAAAGAAAACTGTGTAGGGTAAAGCTAAGAGCCTGTCAGCTCCTCTTTGAAGTAAGTTCTGAAAAATACTACTACAATCATATGTCAGATCACACCTTATTACCTTCCATCTCTATTTAGCCATTTTCAGCAGATATTTTTCCCAGTTATAAGTTATAGATGGGTAGAACAAATTAATGGTTGTGATGGAAGATAATGTTTTGTGAAATGACTAGAAGCAGTTGGGTGATTCAAAGGTGAGATAGAAGCTTGCTGTTCCAAGGATATGGGCATTGTAAGGGTATATCTTCAGCATTTAAGAAAAAAAAAATCCTATTGTTAAGCAATACTGTATTAGTGAATAGCCATTTCATGTCCCAATTTCAGTCCACTTTAGAAAGCAATCGTAATGATGTCTTAAACATTGCTAACAGTCATGAAACTTGAGTTAGTACAATTTACTAGAAATGCATAGGTTATAATAAGACAAAGATATAAACCTACAGTAGCACAAAAATAGCAAAAGATAGTACTTGAAAAATAAGATGCAGTAAATTGATGCAACCATATATGAATAAGCTGTGCAGATTCCTCCAGCTGCCAATGGGATCCCATGTGCTGTAGTGATTGTATTCATGTAAATTAGTGTGCAAAGAAAAAGGGAACTGAGCTGGAGCTGATTACCTGGCCCCTCTCAACAAGTTATTAGACTAATCACCCACCAACATATTTGAAAAACATATTTCAAATGTGTAAGCAAATCAGCCATTCTCACATTGTTAATGGGGAATCAAACTGAGCAAAAGGCTTATCCCTAATAATAGCAGCAAACACTGAAAATGCATTGGATTTTCTACCTAAGAACAATGTCCTCAATTCATATCAGTGATAGGAAATGTATTGAGAATTCCACTTACTTAACCTTTTTTCTTTCTTAACCTTCTATTTTCAGTCACTTTCAACTGCAGCCACCACTAGCTTTGCACTGATGATTCTTAACTTTACAAAGCCTAAATACCTCATAAGCAGAAGTGCTTAGCTTGGACAACAGAAGCATAATTAAATTCATTAACATTTGCAGGCTTTCAGTAGAGATTTGAAGGTTGTCTCCAATATTTCTGTGTACTTGGCATCACTCTTGATATTTCTTTTATGATTAATTCCTCCTAACATCTCAAAATCTCCTAGTTCTCATCTCTACCGCATTGCCTTCATATCACCTTAACTTAACCTTTGTTAAAATCCTTCTTCTGTAAACTTATAATGATACCTTGTGAGAGTTTTAATGCCAACCAATTTCCAAGTTTCTGTACATGAAAATTCAAATTAAAAAGCTAGCTGTAGGAGGACAAGGCAAGGAAGTCTTCTTGAACTTTGAGAAGCAGGGAAAGAGAAACACTTTGAGAAACAGGGAAAGATAAATACTAATTGTTTCCTTCCTTTCTAACGGCCTTCTTAAGGACTTTCTCCTATTTCTGGCTCTTTTCATGCCAATATTAAAAAAAACCAACCTACTGTTCAACATTACTAGTGTTCCCCTTAAAGATACCAGACAAAACTGAATCTGTACTGTCCTCAAAAAACTCTTTATTTCTTTTTGGATTTAGTTTACAATATTTTCTCTTGACTCTGAAAATTCTCTATTTAATATTTAATATTTCTAGACTTTTTCTCAACTCTGTTCTTCAATTTTTCAAGCACTGACCTGCCTTTTTCTTTTTTTTTTGGTTATAATTTTACCACTGTTGCAACAGTCTTATCTGTATCATAAGCATTATGGGAAAAACTTGGTTCTTTGGTCACCTTATTTCCTTTTTTTGATTATTTTCTCTCTTCTTTTGAAAACAACATTTTCCAATGTCCGGCTACATCATTCTCTTTCACTTCTTTTCCTTTTCTATTTTAAACTCACATTGTATTATCAACTGTTTGCACAAAATAACATTTTAGAAGATATGATTTTGTATGAGCTATATAATCACAGAAACCATTTTACTGTATTTTGTTAGTTTTAAATACAGCTTTTAGAGAGAAGTGGAGTGCATGCAACAAAGCTAAGTATGCTAGAAGTCTGAGTTGTGTAAAACAAGTGTTTCAAAAGTCACAAAAAAATTAGTGAAAAAGAATGCGGTAACAAATCTGGTAGATTAGAGAGACAACGTATATCTATTGATAGGCCTTTGGCTTGTGAGGAAAAAATGGTTGTTTTATTTGATAATCCCCAACATTAAGTTACTGGTATGATCAGGGAGAGTCACTACTTCTCTGAGATTCTGTCTTCTTCCTGCCTCTCTCCTGTCTATACAGATTGTAATTTCTTGGGATTGCTTCATATCAGAGACAGGATACTGATCTCTCAGTCTCCACATATTATTAAATACAGATATTAATAGACTATAAAAGAGCAGACTTTCTGATATTCACATTGGATTAACTCAAATTATTTATTAGCTTTTAATTATTTTTAAAACTAGATAAATTCTCTCAGAATGAAATTAGAGTTATAAAGAAAAGAGATCTCAAATTGAAAGCTCTTCTCAGTTTCCTAAATTTAAATTTTGATTAAAACAATACTTTTTTTCAGGTTAAGAAGAACTCTTCTTGATAGCTTCCATGCAAAAAATATACTTTAGCCATCTAACATAATGTTTGATAATTTTGATAATTCCAAATAAGGCATTAAAAGTATAAAAAACACAGTTCTATAGGCAAAGCTTTCCTTGCAAATGTAAAGAAGAAAATGGAGAAATAAATTTTAAAACAGACAAAACGTCCCTACACCTTTGTCTATTTGGTATGCACATTCCTCTGGAACACTTAAAATATCAAAAATAATGCAGAAAGTGTTTAGAATAAACTATGAGGTGACAATCTGAAAGTAACCAGGTATTCTGGAATTCTCTCCTCTCAATTTTAATGTAACTAACAAAGGAGCACCTGTGACAGACAGTTAAAAGAATAATTTTTCTACAGTGGAATGCAGTGATCTGAATTTCAGAAATGGCTTGCTTTGACATTAGCAAAATTAATGTTATTCGTTACTTTTAAAAGAAAGCACTTAAAAAATGCTGACCCTCTCCAAGAAAAAGAAATATTCGGTGATATTGTGGAAAACAAAAAAAAAAAGAAAGAGAAAAAGAAAAAACAAGCTTAAAATTCCATAAAAACATTTCAAAAACCAGAAAATAAGAAGTTTCATATATGCTTGAAATAAACTTTAGACTTAACACTGTTTGCAGACATCTGGCCTGGCATACTAAATATACATTTAATTTAAAAAGAAATGATGATATAATTTTATACAAACCGACAATTAACTTATTCATAATAACAAACATACCCGCGTTTGCTGCATCAACAGTTTGTGGTGTCTCCGTTGACAATTTCTGAAGGGCCTGTTCACCATCTGTCTTCTCTGGTGAGCTGCTATGTCGAGACTGCTGTTGGTCTTCATCTTCAGCAACAAATGAAATTACACCTAAAACAAATAGATACCAGGTGTTATATTACACGGCATTAGCTTTATAAAACAGACTGCCAGACACATACAAGTATATCCTCAGTTCAAAACTAACAAAAAACAAAGTAAAACTTCCACTCCAGATGTCAGCCACTGAATTATATTTTACGATAAAAAAAAAACATCTTAAACAAGTCCGAGGAAATTTAGCATTTTTTTCTCCCAAAACCATTTTTTTCCTACTTACCAGATCTAAAGATCAATAATAAGAAATACAATACAAATAATAAAACCATAATGGAAAGCTCGGGGGAATAAATTTTGAAGACTCAAGGTGCATAAATGTTGATGTACAAGGGCATATTTGATGGCTAATGGATCTTAAGGGAAATGGTAATTAACCTGTTTTTTTGTCTCAGTACATAATCCTAGTATCATTTTGTTTCACTGCAGCATGTTAGAGAGAAGCAAAGTGCAAGAGAAAGACTTCACTTATTTCAAATACCATCCTAACCATCAATACACTGAATAGATGTCAAAAATTACAAGCAAATGGGCACAAAAATTTTCAAAACTATAGCTTTAAAGTTCATTTAAAATACTTGAGTAAATGCTGAAAAGCACTGAATTCATAAATTCTAAAGCATCCTTACAGTAGAGAATATTTTGTTTCACTTAATTTTAGAATTTAACTATTTTTTTTTCTTATACTCCTTGATTCTAGTGACAATGGAGGGTTTACTTTACCAGTTGTCTGAATAAGAGTGCGTGTCAGAATATTGTACTGTGCAAATGTGTGCGTGAGAGAAAGAGTAACAGAACATGAGTGGTTACAGTTTAAAAACTTTTACTTCATCAGTAAGGGGATGTTAAAACAAACAGTAACTTTTTTGGTTCTGCAAAAAATGTGCTCTCAAAAGTATCAAAATAATTGGCTGAAGAACTCTGCATAATTAATTTTTACTTGCAGCAAACCTTGGAATGCTTGAAAAGTTCCAGAACTGTAAATTGCTAATGCTCAAGAATATTTCAAGTGCTAGTGGGAGAACTACGGTAACTAAAAACTACTTGAATTGCTAAACCACTGTGCTGATAATCCGGCAATTGCACAATCAAAAAAATCAGTGAAGAATTGCACTATAATTGCTGATACTCAATTTTCTTTCTTAATGGAAAACAGATCTCAAACATACAGAATTAATAACAAGGAGGTTAAAATCTTGATCAATAAGGATGACTGGATTGATGGAATGTATTCAGGTCTCTGCAAGGCACTCAATTAAATCTGTCAAAGTATTTCAGTAAGAAGTAATCAGTTTTAATACAGATGGCATACATTTTTAAATTCAGTTTTGTCTGCTAATCTTAAAATATTCATAAATTGTCTTTCATAATTTTCATGGGCACCAAAGTGCTACTACTGGCTCAAAGCTATTTGAATTTTTTATTAGGGGGGAAAAAAAAAATCATTGCTGCCAAGAACTGCAAATAACCAAAAAAAAATTGTATTCATTTCAAGTCAAATATAGAATGCAGATTCTTTAGCAGTGAGGATACTTAGTACGCAGTATGCTCTGCATGACTTGATTCTTTAATTTAAGATGAAATTTTTTCCTAGGTAGTACAATATTGTCCTAAGCAGAATGCCCTTCTTGCTTGGGAGCGAATGGTGCAATCCAATGATCACTATGGGAGACTAAGATAGCTGATGATTTGTAAATACATGAATTTATACCAAAAAATGCAATCAAAAGGTGTTTTGCAGGATGGGGAAAAGACTTCTTTACAATGAAGAGTAATAACAAGTCCTTAGCATTCTCTGAAGCAATAAAAAATACATTTGAAAGGTGCAGAAACATTGAATCAAATATGACAGATTTAAAATAACAAATAAGCATGTATACTTTTTTTCACAGGGTTCTGCTGAGCCCTTATGTCACATAAAGGGCTTTGACACAGGAAGTTTTAATCTTTCAACTGTGAACATGCTGTCACCTTACAGAACCCACTGTATTACGTATAGGAAAATCTCTATGATGATATATGTAAATTCTAAAGACTTTCTGTAAATCCTACTACTTGGTGTACTGGAACTAAATTAATTTCTCCCTGCATCAATAAAAAGGAAGCAGAATAAACTCTAAGTCATACAAAGGAGAAACAGGTGAGTGGCAAATCCCACTGTCAACTACCATTCATATACTGTTTTCTGGCATTTAATAAAGATGTGGATTTATTATATTTATAATTATCACTGTCTGTTCTTAATGCGTCAATGAAAACATGACATGAAAGGACACAGGAGTATGCAACTCTGCACCAGCATAGATAGATAGAAAGGGTTTGCTGAGGATCATCTTGCCAGGTGGTGGCACCTACAAATACAGCAGTCCTCCCTCACTGGAGGAATGCCAGAGCCATTCATGGTAATCAAGTAAACCAGAAGATCCTTCTAACTTTGTCTTTATTACAGATTAAGGAGTCTCAATTTTTATGGTGTCTCAGCTGAAAAGGAAGTGTCTAAAGAAAGGGTACTGACAGGTGCTGGAAATACAGCAGTGGCTGTAGCAGCTACAGAGAGGGTCTTCCTACTGCATTTGATTTTGTTCTTCCATTGAAATTAGAGAGATCAGATCAATTTGCAACATTCCTCCAAACAAAGAAATGGACAATAGTTTGAAAATCAGATGTCACACAAGTGGTGAAGGGAAATACTGTTAAACAAACAAATTTAATCAACTCTTTTTACAGGCCAGAATGTATTGGCCTGCTCTTCACCATCTCATTAAAATTTTCCTACAGCTCCATCTGACAGGCCATAGCCTGCAATATACTGCCCTTATTCCTGAATGTAGGCTTCCAAAGCTCCAAGCAGGATGGAAGAGTGCTGCCCACCAAGTACAAATATAGTCAAAAAATAAATGAAAGGTCATTCATAAAATTAGAAAGCTACTTTCCAGAAGCTAGTAAATTTTTATGGATAAAAGGATGCTGACTATAACACGTGTATTTTTTGCACAAGAAATATTCAAGCATTATGGGCTTTCATCTATTCTGTAAAATTCTGGTCTATTCTGAAGAAAGTAGAAATAAGAGTTTGATGAGGGATAAAGTAATATTTAGAAGACGCTTTATCAAACCTAAAGGAAATTGCTCTATTGCTTAGAAAAAAGATCTTTGAAAAATTTTATGTGGTGCCAGAACCTTGTGCGAGATGTTTATTAGCTGTTATTTCTATATTAAAGCTGTTACACAGCACATACCAGCCAAAGCATATAATATTAGCCCACTATTGGAATGCTTCCAAATGGACTTTTGAAAAGAACTGGGCCCATTTTCAGCTTAGCAATCATAAGATCGCAAGAAGGAAAGCAAAAAAAGTATAATTTTGCAGCTATATAATTTTGTAGCAAAAAAGACATTGCATGTAAAGGAAAAATGTGGACCATTTGTTCAGTAAAACAATTTACATAGTAAAAGTCCTTTTGTGAGAATTTATTTTAATACGACAAAAACAGTACTAGAACACCAAGTTTACAAAGTTTTATACTTGCAAGTTAGGGAATTCTAAACTTGAAATCATCCGTCAACACAATGACAGAGTCTTCCAGTGGATATCTAAATAGTTGTTCTTTTTCCTCACAGGATATAATTTGCTCACTCTGTGGAAAGCTTTTGAGCTTTGCTTTTTATTATCGATCCTTCAACATGTTGATCCTAAGGATTATTTACTTCCCCCTAAACAAATTCACCAAACTGAACACACAGTACCTTTCTTTTTGGGTGTTTAATTAATCCTTTACCTGTAGTATCTTGAGCCTAAAAAGGACTAAGATTCCTGACCCCTAAATAATTCCCATTTGAATCACCTACATCTAATCTCTGATCCTCAAGCTCCAGACTGGCTGCTGAAAAACCCTACAAGTGCCAAAAAATCCTATATGTCTCAGCTTTGACATTAAAGTTTCACCGCAGCTGAAAATTCTGCTTTGGGGAACAAATATGAGTTCCCAACCTTGCACAGTATAAAGCAGACAGAATTCGATTCTCCTTGAAGCCACAAAGTAAGCACTTCCTAACTGATGTTGTCTTTAGATAAGACACCTGCTACTTGTGTTTATATCACACCTAACGTCAGACAGCAAAATCAGCAGCTGCCTTTCAAACCTGTGACAGTGGCCTTTCTTCCCACCACCCCTCTCCCTCCTACAGCAGCTGGATGAATAGAGAGCATGTACAAATTTCTGTGACATAACCAAAACTGTTACTGCTCCGGAGGAAGAACGAACGTGATTTCCTAAGGTTAGTGATTAAAGCAAGCACTGAGCCATGGGGGGTGGATGGTAGAGAGCTGGACCCTGTCTGTTTTCAAAGGATAACTTCAGCCTTCTATCAAGTTATTTTAGAGCATAAAATAAATGAACTGCTTTCTGGAAAAAAAGCATTCATGGCTTCACAGCCTTTGAATCAATAACATTTCTGCCGGGTTAGATAGACTGACTGTTCTGTCTTTCTCTCACTCAGTGAACATATAATACTTTCAAACATAATGGAAACCATTGTAATAGAAGTTAGGGGAATGACAGAATAAAGGAGATGTTCATCTGAACATGCCATCTCTGTCCCTTTGAAGGCATGGCTTTTACCACCTTGTATTAATTTGCTGTATGATAGATCCCTGGGAACCTCTGCTACTGAAACTTTCAGTACGTGTAAAGGAACTGGGGATTTTCTAAGCCAGAAGATAATATTTCTAAAATGGAAAAAAAAGCAAAAGTTAAAATACAGTACATCCTCAATATTTCCTGATGCTCACAAATTTCATTGAAATCTGACTCCTATTCAAAGAAAGTGAATTTTGTCTCAGGGCTACAGATTTAGCAAGAAAGTACTGAAGTCTTCCTGTGGTACTAGGTCAAACTTTGTTACAAATCTGATTTTCACAAATCACCTGTGAATTAAGACGGCATAATTACTTACATTTTACACATCATATGCTAAAACCAAAATGGCCAAAAGAGCAAACTAGTTTGACATCCTCAGGGACAAGACTTAATAGCTTTTTAATGTTGAGAATACAGCTGTCATTAATCTAAATTGCCTAAGAAGGCAGCAGAATCAAGTGTTCGGAGTTAGGAACCTACAAAATCAAAACTCTACACTGTCATACTTTGCTCTGCTGTGAGTAACTACAATAGCTACTCTACAAGGAAGAAAAAGACTGATTGCACAGTCTCATTCTCACAGTTGTGCTTTTCAGGTTCTTAAGTAAAGAATGGACATCACAGAATTGTATAATTATTACTAAGCACTTGAAAATTATGAAATCTGAATTGTTAAAACAATATTCATTAAAAAATATTTTCAGGACAAAACATTAATTATGACACGCTGATGTTAGTTAATACCAGCAAAAGTCTTGCTATTGTATCATAAGAATACCAGTATAAACATCGAGTGACACAAATTATTTGCAATTAATGTTAGATATCCCTAGCCTCTACACATCTCAAAGAACCAATTGGGTTCACTGCATTCTGTGTATGCATTCTTGCCTTGTGGTCAAAAACTTGAACTTTAATCAAGGGAAAGAATCACATTCTGGTCTCTGCCTTTGAATTTTTGGTTCTAGTAGTGCTAAAATAACTTTCTAATAATTTTCATGGGGCCAATTAAATGCATAAGTTTGCACATATGCTGGCATTTTTGAAGGACCTGACCACATCTTTTAGCAGAGATATACCTTTACAAATAAAAATATGAGCCAGCTTAGAAACCTGTATCACTAGTAATTATAGCCTTACTTCCAGAAGAAAGGTTATGATGAGCAGAAATACTAAGTGTAAAGTGCATTAAATGTAAACAGATTTAATCTGCTAATTTATAAGGTTTTTCTACATTGTACCTTGAAAGAGTCCTCGTCTCCACGGAGATACACTCAAAGTGTAAGTGACTTTGTCATCTGGTTCTACTGTAATAACAGGTGCACCACCCACCATTGAAAGATCTGAATATACCTGGTGAAGAGAATTCACAAAGAGGAAAGATCATCAAAAGCAAGTCACTGTTGCAAGAACTCTATAGACACAATATCTATTCTACTTGCTTTGAAAAGTAGAGTATGATATGAAGTATGCTATTGGTAAGTCCTAACCCTTATGCACATGAAAGGAACACATACTGCAAAAGTAGTACTGGCTTATACAGATCATATCAAGCACAAAATTTCAAGTCATTGCCCAATGTGGGCAAAATTATCTCACTTAGACCATGGAACTACTTACATATGCGTAGAGTTGCACAGTGAGGCCCTTAATATTTTACATACATTTTCTTTAGAACTGTAACAATGATGTTTGACAGTAGTGATCCATCTAACTAGACAGAGCAAAGAAAAATCTGAAGTGTCGTTTTATCATCAACTGCTATATCTCAGGTGGTATTAAACCATGGGTTGTGTTATGTCATATTTTGTAAACGACCCATGTGCGATGGCATACACAGTAACTATTTGAACAATGAAAAGACCAATACAATATTCATATGTTGAATTTTAGATTTTGTAAACTATAAAACTGATTGCAGGAATATAGGCTGAGAGTATTTTTTAATTACATCTCATTTCTTTGCCACTTGTATAAGTTTGCTACAGACAGACTCTATGGTCAGCTGCTCATGGAAGAGACGTTCAAGTGATGATTACCTCCTTAAGTCACTGGTTGTGCAGAACCCTAGCAGGTGGGCTGCATGAATAGTTCTGCTCACCCCACCCCTCCTCTTCCATTACCTCTGCCACTGTTGCTGAGTAATGGCATTTTAAATTGATACTGCAATTTCTGCAATGGAAATCTGAAAACAGGTAATGATTTTCAACTGAGGCATGGAGTCCTTTTGAAGAATAATTTCAGGTTATCATGTAGTACAGTAGCATGCTGTAAATTTTTACTAAATTAAATAATAAAAATGTCTCTGTGTTGTTTAGTCAAATTTTGAGTGAAATCACAAGTCATCAGAAAGGCTTGATTTTTTTCCATTCATTTATTCATTTCATTAAAGAAAGACTACAGCTATCCTGTCAAGCATCCAAGCAGAGACTTGGATTCTCAAAGATCTCTTTTGCAACCGTAAAAAACATTAGATGCACAGATCATTTTCTACCTCCCCAAGGTTACCGTTGTTGGTTTTTTTAAGTGAATAAGTTTTGTCCATATTTTCTGTAGGAAAAAAAGCAATTCTAAGATCACCTTGTCTTCTATTACTGCCAATAATTGCCTATAATGTTTGTCCTCTCTGGGGTATTTACGCTAATAAAATTCTTTGTTCAAGCGCTAGTACAATCTGGAACTTCTATTCCAAGTAAGAAAGAAAAAAGCTTGTAAGACAACAATCTTCCTCTTCCCCAGCAAATCTACATTTCAAGCTGGATATTAGAAGTCCAACAATCAAAAAGAGCAGGAAAAGAGACTAATTGTCAAGGAAAAAAGAAAAAACAGACCATAAAAGGAATGATGGAAAGCTTTGTTGAAGTGTCACTTTTAGAATAAAAATTGGAAAAAAAAAAAACAATCAACTAACTTAATAACAAAGAGAAAGCATAGGAAAAGAGAGGTTGCTACACACTGAGAATAGGGAAGTTTCATTTCATGCAAGATAAAAAATAAATCAGGCATGATCCTACATTTACAGATTACTCCATTTCAGTTCACAACAAAGTTAGTAATGCATATGAAAGTAAAGACTAAGTACCTAAAAAACAAGGATAGAGTAAGAGAAATGACAGCAAATGAATAGGAATAGAAATAAGATTAATTAAAGTGAGATTTTTTTTAAAGAAAAAAGTAACACTGAGAATATGCAAAAGTAGGATAAATGTGGTTAATTTAAATTGGATAAATGCAGGAAAGAAGGGTTATACAGTTTCTAAACTTTTTTGGTTAGAAAGTAGTCTGATAACCAATAAAATACCTTGGTACTACTCACATCTTCAAAAAAATCTAATAAAGAACTAACATAATAAGCTGAAATGGAGCAGAACTTACAATAAAATATCTGTATTAAAGCCTGGCTCTACATACCATTATCAGTCCTTCAAATTCATAAGAAAATTAGATGCTTTATTTTCATAGATTTGGTTAGAAAGACAATGTGTGACATAACTAAGAAACAGCAAAGCTGTTCAAGTTGCCGTAATAAATATCAGGCAATCACTGCAATTAGTTCAGTGAAGAAAAGTTGGCTTTCATACCCACAAATTTCCGCAAACCCACACAATGTATGCGTTGTCTATCACTCAGAAAATAAGAATAGTAGAATACCACAATGAAACCAAAATGTAAATTTTTATTAAAGTTATCAGTGTGACCTTGCAGAAAATTTGCTCAAATCAATCCATCTCCCAGGGTTTAGTTTTTAAATGATAGTATTCTCCATTATCTTACACCTGAAGTTATTATTTATGCACAGCCAGAAAGTATAAACACAGCAGATTTGTAAAATGATACAATTTTAATCTAATTTATCAGTCACAGATTTGAAAACTCATTCTTCAGAAGTTTCATGTGGCTATTTAAGATGAATAGGGATGGAAAGCCAATCTTCAAAATTATAGTAAAAAACCCCTTTATTCCAGAGTTGAATAATTAAATAAGCATAACTGCAAAAATGTCAGCTGACACTTCAAGCCAAAGTGGTAAACAGAGGTACAGAACTTAATCAAATATACTTAAATTCCACTATCTCCTTGTATAAAGAAGTCAGACAGTAATATGCTAGATATTTCCATTTGAAAATTGTTTCTCAGGTTTGTTTAACAACACTGACAGGCTCTACTTATTAAGAAGTTAATGCTCCTTGACACTAGGTCAGAACTGGGTCTGTGAGAGCCACTGATCAATCTGATAACCAGATTTTTTTCAATACTGTCAAGAATGACAGATGTTTCGAAAGAAGCCCCCATTACATTCCCTCATCCTCCTTTCAGTGCATATAGTGCAAGTTCCTGAATTACTAGGAATTCATTTAGTTCTTGCAATTGCTTTTATTTTGCCACCATTGTGTTAAAAAACTGAAATAGAACATCTTTGCATTGCACTGAGTATACTCCCTCAACAATTCCCTTCTGTTCAGATGCAACCTGGAGTCCTCGATAAGGAAGAGGGCTGCATAATCCAGATTCATAACTCAGGCAGGTCACCTGTCAAGACCTCTAACCTACCTCAAGAAACAAATCAGACATACAACCTTCCTACAGCATTACTTGATCCATCCTTTTCATAACTAGTAATCACAAAAAAAGCCAGATAACAACCACGGTTATTCTTATATTCTGCAGGCCTTTGTACAATTCATTATTGGTATAAAGAATGCTTTTTTTGTAGTGAAGCCTGTTACAGAAGTTCTGGTAGGCAATGGGGAAGTCAAAAGGACTGAAAACTTGATGAGGGTATAGGACCTTCAGCAATCAGGTTATTGGAGTTGCATGGAATTTATTTACAGGAAAACTCACAAAAATTACAAAATAAGATTTAGCCTGAATAGGGAAGCCCCTCATTAAAGGTTTATAGTACATAGTTTTATTATTTTGAGACATTTGCTGCAAATACTCAACCTTCATTTCATTCTTTCATTGACATTTTAAAGATCTAAAATGCATAGAGAGAGGATAGAGAGAGAAATGCACTGAAGAATAGGGGATTTTGTAGTTTTTGATTATGTATTTATTCTATGATACTTGTGGAAATTACGAACAGTTTGTATAATCTAATACCTGAAAGGTAATTTAACTGAGCCTTCAGATTCCTCTAGAGAGTTTACTTTAAAGACATCTATTTTGAACAGCACTGAGAAAAACAGTTAGACAGTTTTATATTTTTACTGCAAAATCAAGCCTTGAAAGAATTAGGCACCTTTATAGATAAAGTTACTATCAAAGGCATCGTTAGAAGCAGCCATCAACACACCAGATAATTATTTATATGCAGCAGACTGAGTTTTATATAAAAAATCAAAAGGAAATGGTATAAAAACTTTGTCATGAGACTGACAGATTGGTTTTTATAGAAATACTTCTCATTTCCTTCCTCTGAATCTAATTTTACAACCACTAAAATCCACTTACACTGAAGTCACTAACCTTATATTAATTCAGCATCAGCAAAAGACGTGCTCTCTGGCTGATGTTATATGTGCACAAATTCTTTATGAATTCTGTTGTAATGTTTTTTCAGGCCCAGGAGTAAGTTAATCATGAGAAAGACTATTTGTTGTCATATCCCCTAGAACCAGTCATGAAGAGCACAGCGGCAGTATTTCCCTAAGGTTTACACATCACTCAGTAGAAAACAGTTCATAAAACATTCACATTTTTCAAGGAATTTATGGAAATTGTCTTTCATGGAAAGCTTTGTAGGTACTGAAAGTGTTTTGCTTAGCATTTTAAAAGGTAGACTGATGGACGCAAGCACATGACTTTCACTGAATTTCAAAGGCACTTCCATTCCTGACTCTCTTGATACATATTAGTGGTTGCACAGACAAGCAAACCACACATATTACAAAAATCATTGCTGCTCCAGACATGAGCACTCTATATATGTTTGAAATTGGAAAAGTATAAATCAGAGGGAAGAGGGAAGAGGAAGAAAGGGAGGAATTTTTTCCCTCTTCTGCCTCCCAGACTTAACTATCATTTTCAAGTCACTTTTGCAGTAGTACCCTTATTTTGGTTGAAGCTATTAGATATATACAATGAATACTGAGAAACAGGGTAGCATACGTACAATGTAATTAATTTTTAATGAAATGAGTTTTTATTAACTTTATAGTTTAATATATTCAGTTATTAAAATGGAACAGTGAAGCTAAATTTACACCTCAAAGGCAAAATTACCCAAGTATTAATTCAGCTAAATTACTTATTGCTAAGTATTCCTTGTAAATTGCTTATGGACATGCCTGTAAATCATTATGCTTGTCAGCTACTGGAATATCTTATACTATTCTTGATTTAGGCTGAGCTTTATTAGTTCAGCAAATGAAATACTTCTGTTTTTTCGAAATATCATGTATGTCCCCATTTATTTATAAGAAGTTACCTTGTATAGTGGATACACTCCGTCAATGGAGAATGTATCAGGCAAATTAACCAACTAATTCAATAATGAAGACATTCACTAGCCAACAAAATCACAAAAGATCCCATTAAAAACATTTCTAAGCTATTAATTTTTTTGTCATCTCAGTTCTGTCTCCATCAAAGCTGGCAAGATTTCCTCTACTGTGTCATCAACTTAGCTAAAGGACAATATGGTAACATTTCAAAGATGCTGGATTAAAAAGCAGGAGGAGTTATTGGACTGTCAACAACCACCCCCAAGGCAAGCACTGACAAAGACAAAATCACAGTCTGTTGTGTTCTGATTCATAAGAGACTATCCAGAAATTACAGTGATCAGGGAGCATGGAATGAACAACAACCACAAAATCAGTATAACATCTTTTTCCTGATGCCCTTTGTGCTATACATTTCTGAATAAAGTTTATTTTGCATTTCTAACAAGGTTGTTGGTCACAGTCCCCTCTGAGAGTAGGTTTTCCCATTCCTTCTAATAACTACATGATCATGTTTTAGATTTCCTGATTAAATCCTAATTTACAGACTAAACCTTTTGGAGTTAAAAGCCAGCAAATGGTCTCACTCACTACAATAGCACAAGATACTATGTGACATCTGCTGGAGAGTGCCTGAAGTGATTAATACTGTTTGCTTTGTTGAGGACACAGATTCCAGACACTGGTAGGTTTTGTAATCATGCCTTTTCTAGGGTTTTCAGCACACCTTGCTTTAACCACTGTTCTCCGACAGCTTCTGGGTAAAATACTACTACAGAGAAAATACATTTTTCATTCCAACTAATTTATTACATGCATACAAGCACGAAATAGCTGGCATTACTATGTCTCTTCAAAAGTTCCTGAGCAAAAAGAACACACGTGGTTAGACTGTCTAAGAGTACTTCAGAGAGGCAAAAAAAAAAAAAAAAACCACAACAACACAAAGCACCACAGAACCAACTAAGTGGGAAAAAATCCCTGCCCGGAAACCAGATTTTGGTAACCAGAGAACACCTTCAAGGAAGTCAAAGTTCAATCAGACTCAGCTCATCCTGGAATAGTCACAGCTGTCATAAATTCATTTTACACAAAGTTTCTGAAAAAGACACACAAGGAATAATTTTAATGCATTCATTTTGAAGTTTGATATTTCAGTGTCTTTCACTTTCATTGGCACAAAAAATATTGAGTTCACACAACATGGGAAAGCAGAGGAATTAGTCCTGTTGTCAAGTTTCGTGAAAGTCAGTGATAAAAGTACAAATGTATTATAAATGTAAATGCATTCACATCTAAAAAGCTAAGATTGTTGAAAAGAAAGGTGTCAAAGCTGGTGATGTCCAAAAATGCATTTCTTTCTTTGTTCAGGGGTTTTGATGAGTCAAAAAATAGGAACATGAAGTTGGACCTTTTTCTGCTGTAAAAGTCTATTAAATGTCAATCCTCAGTAACAGTGAAAAACTGGAGACTAGTAAGAGTTTAGGGAAGAATTTCACATTGCCATAAATTCCCATCAAAGAAGTATAAGAGTGCTGCTGGTATATACATTATCTCTATAGAATAAGGTGAGGCCGCTCTCTACCAATATCACAAGTCTAATTAACTACTCAAATTTTATCTTCTAGAATTTTCCCCTTTTTCCCCTTCCCCCCCAAAATAAAAACTACCAAAAAAAACCCCAGCACCTAAACCTCTTCAAAAACATACAGTTCAAAAATATACATTTACATATGCTGTCAATTTTTAGAACACTCCTGCCTTGTTTCTACAGATTGAGCCCTCCTATAGTATAGTATACAGACATAGTATGTAGATGATATCTACTATAGATTTAAATGCCATAGTAGAATCACAAAGATGACTTTTGTTGAGCAAGGTCCGAGATGTTTTTGCTCAGGAACCTTCTCTCAGATGAGAAGAAAAACAGAAGTCACTTTTTTTCCCCTAAAGTACATTCCATCTCTGCTGGCATTTGACATGTGGTCCTATACACGGATAAGGAAGGCAAGGAATACTACTGAAATACTTTGGTCACATTCAAATTAAACATGCAGATAAGAGAAATGGTAGGAAAACATGCACTTAGAGTAATACATTGGTTTTAAATTGGAAAATGCATTTGTGTAAATACAGTTATAAAATATATTTAACCTAAACAGTGAAAAATAATAAGGATTATATTTCACAGTGAAAAGATCTTCCAGAGCAGGGAAACTAACAAAAGTGTTTTTTCTAAGAATTTATAGCTTATGTCCCTCCATCGAAATCACAACTACCTCAGCACCTCCTACTCCATCTCACCAGTGACCCATTGCCCTTCAACAGCTCCAGTTTGTTATTTCCATTAAATTTTCTTTCCCACTAGCAAACACACAAAGTATTCCCAACTTCCTCCAATATCCCTGAAACAACAGCTGGGCAAAAGACTAACTGCTATAACTTGTTCCAAGAAATGAAAGCTCTAACTGGCCAGGCCATTAGGCCTTTAGGTATAGGTATATAGTGAGCTCATGCTGCAATCATTCCCTTAGTAGGCTGATAACTTTTATCCTTTTCCTGCAATATTCCACTGCTTTATGAATATTTTAGGAACCTTGTATTCTCAAGCTCCTTCTCTGTTTTCAAAACTGATGGAATTGGCCACTGTTTTCAAGCTAGTGGAGGAGGAAGGGAGTAAAGACTTGCAAAGGATCAGGGAGCAATTGTAGATGAGTTGTGCCCTTGGGAACCAGACTAAAAAGCTAATAAATCTTTTTCCAAAGAACATAAATAAAATCATAAACTATCTCACATGACTTCCAGACTATAAACATATCAATGTACTATAAATTATAGTTAGATATAATTTCTCATGGATACATGAATTTTAATAGTGTATCTGTAATTACAATAATATTTGCTATTTTAATGCATATTTCATAGGCCCTTGGATAGAAAACTAGTTGTCACATTATTGCAAAAAATGTACCTTGTATGTTAACCTGTTCTTAGTATAATTGGGCACCCATAACATTTTTTGAGTGACTTTTCTCACTTCGCAATCTATCACAATATGGTCCTGTGCCAGAGGTCTCTTCCCTATTCCCTTAAGGCTAAAGATGTTTTCAGTGCCAGCCGTATTATTTCGCAGAATAAGCCTTCCCTACAACAAAGAAAGAAGAAAAAAAAAAGTGTCAGCACTGTAAAAGTCCCCTTTGCCTGCCAAATTAACTTCTTTAGTCTATTAGTCTTAAATCCAGGCAACAAAGCATGCTTACAAGAAAGTGTTCCTATTGACTTTTCTAGTTCTTAGGTAAACTCTGTTGTTAAACAGAGAAGAAAATTAAAAAAACCAAAAGGTTTTATTTGACCTGCAGTCAAAATCTCTCAGCCAGTATACAGGCAAAAATATGTATAATGCTTCTTGCTAAAGGTTGCATAGCCTTTGTTTCACTCTTCACTTTTGCATTCAGAGTGATTACTCAGGTGGCAAAAGCAGCTTCTAAGTAGTGGCTTAACATGCAACAGAAAATATTTTATGAAACAAAGTACCCATCACATAAATTCATCTGTGATGTATGCATGCAATGAGGAATACTCAATGTTACTATTTTATTACTCAGGCAATGAGATACAATTTAATATATGTATTTAAATTCAGACTAACACAACATACATTTTTATGATCAAAATCCAGAATCACTTCAGAATAACTGGTTGTTTCATTAAAATGGAGAGTTTTATAGAATAGCAAATAAAGTATGAGATAATAAAGGGTGACGGGGAGATCTATCATGCCTAATCCTAAGCTTTGTCAAGTTATTTTCTTTGGTTTTTTACTTCAGCTCATAGGCAATCTTTCAATTTTTGCCTCTCAAGTAGATGCCTCTTGTTAGTAACTGCTTAAGAACTTTCATAACTTGGACATTAAAGGAAATTTTATTGACAGAAACATCCTCTTCAAATGTTGAAACTGATTTCCCTCTTACCGTTGTTATGCACTCAGCAATAGGCTTGAACATCAGAGGATACAGAGCTGTTTCACCGAGACCCACATTTATTAGAGGAGGGCCATAAAAACCCTCTCCTTCCAAAATTGCTTCAAGTTGCCAATTCTGGCTGGACATGTTGCTCTGAAATCAAAGTAAAGATGTAAATTAGATTATGCATTTAAAGCTTTTAAAATGCATTTCAGCTTTTACTTGCAGTCATCAAAACAGAGCACCATAGTCATTTTCCCCAAGTACTGGCTCAGAGCAACCTTTGGGGAGAATGAAACAGTGCATCTTAAAAATGAATTAAGCTAATAATAAATCCCTTATTCCTGGCAGTCGGAGGTTCTGACAGCAATACTATAAGTAGCAATATTGTCAGCGGGAACACACATTGGAAGATTAAGTACCTGACATAGCTAATGGTCAAGATGGAATTTATAAGTATCATTATAGACATTTACACGTATCTTTATGGTGCTGCTTAATGCTTGCCAAAATTCAGTCCCTTTTCCATCTGTAGAAAATCTTAGTGTACCCCTTTAAATGCTGATGAGCATATATTGCTCATTTGGCTACTGACTGTATTATAAGAGAAGCCTTGCTGACAAATTTAGGACTCCATCTCCAAAGGAGTATTTACAGTTCTATGTTCTCAGAAACTAATCTTTCAAGAGACTAATCTATTTTAAGGAATGCCTGTCCTGAGTAGTATGAAAACTTAAGAAACATGTTTGCCTTGTATCCAGATGTATCACAAGACCGTTTGATTAAGGTAGAAAGTGAGATATTTTGTAACACATGTTTGGAGGCTGCATAAAAATAGTAAAACTAAAACAATTCTATCCAGCCTGAAACTATTTTGGCATTCAAGACTTAATACCTGCCTTTACAAAACACAGAAGATTGATATCATCTATGAAAAGAGGAAGTAATCCTTTGACCCATAATGGTCTTCATCCATGGAAAACTGTCTATAAATGTCAGAGATAAACAATAGATTGTTTTTTTTCTTATGCCTTTCCCCTCCGCTCCCCCCCCTTCCCCCAACACCAGGAACAACTTTTATCATTTTGAAAACCAGCTTGACCATATTTAAAACTGGCAGGTCATCACCCTTTGATAATCTACTGGTTTAAAAGGTGAGATAGAGGAAAAACATCACCATGATTGTTCTTTGGTAAGGAAGAGAGGAGGAGAGTGACTATTTAGGGGCTTAAGATGTTGGGGTTTTCTAGTGCCATGGGTATCAGATGCTTCCTTTATCTGTACTAGTGATGATTACACCAATAAGTATTTCTTCATTCCGAACACAAACACTTGCCAGTTGGAGAAATGTAGTTGACAAACATGGTCACTTTGAAATTATTCTGTAACAAATCCTTCTAATACAGCATGAATTTGACTAAAAATATCTTCTAAAGAAAGATATTAAGGTCAACCACAAGTATTAGAAAATGAAAATAAAATATTCATTAAATTTCACTCCCTTGAACTTGTGCATTAATAAACAGGTTTAGTTACTTAATCATCTAATTCTTACAGGATCTCCTCCTAATGTGAAAACTTATCCAAAGCTTATTAAATCAGTGAGCAACAGAATTAATGCTAAGGGAGTTAGAATCTTTTCACTGGTTGGTAGGTGATTAAATCTAAAGTACATAATAAAGCTGCATGTATAGGACCTATCCCTCTTTCACTGGAGAGGCTGAAACTGAATGATGGACCAATTATATTCATCTCATGCTAGTGACAATTACAGAAACTTCAGATGTTCAGCCTTAACTCTGAAATAAAAAAACAATCACAGATTTTTAGATTCAGGTGAGTTCTTATTCTGGTTCTGTCACTAAATCACTGTGTGGCTTTAAGCAAATCACTTGACCATTTTATTTGCTCCATTTATAATGTGTTCCACCTACCATACAGATGTTAGTTTGCTAGCGTGTGTAAAAACTGTTATGAACACTAATTATTAGGTTTAAGAAACAAAGTTTAACAGATTAATCAACCCCATTCCTCAATTTCACTCTCTATGACCATTTATCTTCTTATGTAAAGTATTTCAAAGATCCGTAATTTGAATGACAAATGACAGTGCTAACTAGTAATATAAAAGTATGGAAAACTTCCTGATAGATGCAGAAGCTCCACATAGAATGAATGTATATAAAATTGTAAAGTATCTAACTCCTTACCAGAATAACATACATTTCTTATACTGAAAATGAAAGATGTGAAGAAAATAACATGCAATCTTGAAATTAAGCTTAAGATGTAAAACACATTTTTATATTTGTATGACATTTCTTTTTTCAACCTTAGGGTATAACATTTAGAGCAGACTTTATGACGACGTGTGCATTTCATAGAAAGGAACAGACTGAGGTACATATTGTCTCTCTCACAAACACACATACACACAGAGAAAGTAGATGCTCCAATTGAGGTACTTTTTATTTCCTAACTGAAAAAACAAGCAGGACTTCAAAGTATAAAAGCATGACTCATGCATGAAATTTAAGAGCATTTACTTAGGAACTCAGAAGTGGGTAAAAAAAATTCAAAAGAATAAAGCCAATCTCTTTAGAAACTCTCTTTTTAAACAAGACGGAAAAAAACCTTTACCTTTCTGTGTTATTTAACAGCTGTTTTTCAGTTAATGTAACATTCAATAAATCAATGGTCAATAAATAATATAGAATATCTTAACATTTACACGTAAGGAAATACGATCTCCTTTCATTTTCTTCACTTTTTTTTATTTTCCTAATTAACTAGTTCGTTGTCTACTTTCAGCATTTCACATAGCACCCACAGTACAGTCTTTCCCCAGGTATTAAGTATCCTTGTTAGAACCTTATCCCACTCTTTTGCCTGCAAAATCTCAGAATATTTTTTCCATACATTAACTCACTATTCTTCAGTGGCTCTAATATCTAAAGGTTACATCAAGTACACAGACAAAACCACAGTTTGAATCTCAGGAAATATTTTACCATTCATATCGCTTAAAGAACTTTTACCCTTTCTCTCATAGCTTAAGCTCCTTCTTTATAATTTTTTTCACATATTTTTTTCTTTTAAATTGGAAAAGTTCTTCAATTTTGAGCAATAATTTTCTGAGGGAGATGATATTCCAACCTACACTCCATCTTCACTCCCTGGTCTTACTTCTCATGTGCCAAAGGTTTCATATCCAAAATAGATATGATAAAACTATAGATGTTATACTGCCTGCGATTGCGATATTTTACAAATATGATAATATTATTAAATAACAGACTAACGAGTGTCAGGACAGAAGTGAAACATTAGAAATAAGCCCATCAAACTAATAATTTACTTTAAGAACTGCCAGAAATTATTTTTCCCAACAAGATTTATATTATGTGCAATATGGACTCTGAGTAATAATACTCAAGACAGTGTTTACATGTATTTGTGCATTTTACAACTATGAATGTTACCAGTTTTGATCCAGAGTCCAGTTTTTAAAAATCCTGAATCTTAGTTTAATTTCTATTTGTAGAGTGAACTTACTATTGGAATATCCTGAACCACTGCCTGGTAAACTGGAGTTTGAAATTCAAGCTCGGCTTCAGCATGGTCTGTATTCACTACACATTCAATCTCATAGACACGAACATCGCAGGAGGACTTCAGAAAAATCTGACAGTGGTAGCAACCAGCATACTGAGGAATGAATTTTATAGGAAGCTCAACTGCATCACTTATATCTAAAAAAAAAAAAAACAAAAAAAAAAAAAAACAAAAAAAAAAAAAAACAAAAAAAAAAAAAAACAAAAAAAAAAAAAAACAAAAAAAAAAAAAAACAAACAAAAAAAAAACCACAATAAACCATCAAAAAACAACAAAAAACTGTAGGATATTCTCCCCAGCAGTACATGCCACAATTTAAAACAAACATTAGACATTAGAACTTTAGGAGTGTTATCATAGAAGCATAGCAAAATTTTTATTTTCCTTAAAAAAAGTATACTTAACCATCTAAACAACATTTTTTATTGTTTTTAGGAGTGCACAGAAAAATATTTCAAAAGATCAAATAAATCTAGTAGAAAAATGTAATGTGTATGAGTTTTTACAAATATTAAAAAAGTATAGTATTTACTATACTTTTATCAAGAGTTACTATGAGAAATATCAGAGACAATACAGTATATTTGGCTAATAGTAGCCCCAACAATGACTGGAATTCTGTTAAGTTTACTAGTTCTCATGAAAGGTACTCATTATACTTTTCCTATGCCCAATTTTGGATTGAAAGTCTGAGTTTCCCAAAATGCAAGGGGTGGCCTAGTTGGAATAGAATCATGAAAAATCCCACTTGCCCAAACCACAGCAAGTGGGAAAAACTCCCCACAGGAATCTCTAGACTAAGGAAGAAGCAATGCAAATGCTGTCCATCTTTGGACATGGCCAGGTCTACCAATTCTGCTGCAAAGACACTCCTCTCTCTTGCTTACAGAAAGGATCAGACTCTTTCACAGAATTTTAAGCCCTTCAATAGCCCTTGTAGGACACTTTCCAAAGGAGAAGGAAAGGCACATGAGGAACTCCAATGACTGGCCATAAAAAGAGTTTCCCAGTCCAATTCTTCCCAGAGTCTCTAAGAAACCTGAATATATATAATATATATAATATATGTAACAAAGACTGTTTCTTTTCACTGTTTTCCAAGGCTAGAAACCAACATCTAAAGTTGGAAAAGATAACGAGGAAGGTCAGAGACAATGTAATGACACAACAGAACATTACAGACAAAACTCAAAAAAAATTACTTCTCTCTGGAGGGGAATATCTGACAAATTCTTGTGGAATTTCTCTTCTTTCTTAATTTGGGTTATTTTCTGATGATATGTATGACAACTGGACTCAAACTATTCTAATGTCTTCAATGATGACTACTGAATTTTGAAAGTGCAATCAATCCTCATTTGCAATGCTGCTCATCCTAGTTCACTAAGTGGTGCTCCTCATGTATTCAGTTCTCACCTCTCTGCAAATGAACAGCAAATTGAAGCTTTCTTGTTGCCTTATGTCATCACTACTTCAGTTTTTTCAGAAAAATAACTCAAGTTCAAGAGACGAAGCATACAGAATGACACTATTTATCTTTCAACATTACTAGGCTATCAAAAAGATTATAAATTGCACCTCAGGCTTAACCCTCTCTGAAATAAATTAGTTTATTCTCCTTTAAAGACAAGATTAATGGCCTGGTAATTTTTGAATTATTACTCTTTTTTCTATTTTGTCACTAAGTTATTACCCCCATTGGCTATCTTCTATAGAAGTGACCTGAGTTTTGCATGGAATGAAACTGTCCTTTCCATTCTTCAGTTCATTAGTACAGTTCCTAATCTCTCTCTACAAGAACTGTTTTAGGATGTTGAAACAAAATATTTACTTAAAATTTAAAGTACATATTTTAAATACCTGTATTTCAAGATAAAGTAGTTGTTTACAACACATATTTGGGGAAAGATAAAACAGCTCCAAAACATTTCTGCATGAGTTTTGCTTTCTTGCACTAAATAGAAATTGTAATTACTAGGAATTATGGTTATATTTCACTGAGTTGCACCCATCTTTGAAATGCACACTTTCAAACAGAAATGCCTCCTATAGAAAAATTTAAAAATAAAACCAAGAAGAGTCTTCCTACCCATGCCCTTTCCTGCTCTATGTTTACAATATTTAGTTTGGCATTACTTTTGTTAAAATATTTGTCTCTTATGCATTAAAAAAAATACAATGAAGAATAGGTCAGTTGAATAATTCAAATATTATGATCAATTACAGTCACTGAAAAGGAAAGAAAGTCAATTGATGATGTTTATTTAACATGACAAGTATTTTATGCAATAATACGTGGTTCCTGAAGTGAGAAAGGATCTCCAAATCAAAATGATTACAGAAATCACTTGCCTGTGAATTATAGGTGAAGTCTGTTCTGCAAAATATTTTTCATGCTAATTTTAAACCCAGTTTACTTTATGGTATTTAAAAGTCTCTCATCCTCTTTTCATCTTTCTCAGTCTTGTAAGATATTCAGCAAAGATAAATTTAGGAATTAGTTCAAAGATTTAATGAAAATAATCTACGGGATCACAACTGACCTAACAATTTCTGAGACAAAAGTAGTAAAAGTGAGCAACAGGCAGCATTTATGTTATTTCTCCGTAACAGGAAGCAGAGCATGCATCCGTGGAAATGAATGAGACTGCAAACATTTCTCCAACAGTGAATAGTCAGGCAGAACAATACAGGGTTTTGGTACAGCTTCCTTCCCTAGACAGGATATTTATTGTTTGATGGGGAGATATTTCATGTGAAATAGGTAAACAGTTTTATTTTCTAGATTTGTGTTAGACAAATGCCTGTGGGAAACATTTTCTTGATCCTGAATGTGAATATCTGAATTGGGTTTAGTTGTGAAACAGTTGTCAAAACAGGGGTAATTGCAAATACAAAACTTTTAATATGTAATGTTACCCACCACACATTCTTGGGAAGCTAAATTACAGCACATAGATGTTGGTCATGTTCTCTAGCAACTGCCTGTCATCTTGTGCCATTTACTTATTAGAAAAGACAATCTGATCACCACCTGGAATTAGCAAAGTCCATGCCTTCTGATTTAGCCCTATTACAAATTATGGAAGGAGGGAAAGAGCAAGAGTACAAATGCTGTTCTTCCATATCACAATTTGTTGGCATCATTTCTGAAGGCAGGAAACTATGGACCTTCAGTAGTTAGTCAGTTACTTGCATATTATATTAGCTTGTATTCAGCAATGGTGGTTCTATCTATTTAGAAGGTCAAAGCCAAATTTCACAGTGAACTTATCTCAGCCTCTGACACTATGCATGTGTCACAAATAACTGGTTAAATTAACCTGAAGACTGAATTTGCAGGTATGGACTCCTAGAAGGTAAAATAAGCAACATATTGAAGAGCCCAGACTCTCCTGATTTCTCTTTACCTATTGTGTCTTCAAATGAGTTGAATTAGAACAGCACTCTACTCAGTAGACTTGAAAAACCAAACTCTTTTATATGCCTTAATGAGTGCTGATATGTTTTGGAATTTTTGCTATCAATGTGTACATTTCTTTGCTGATTTTCTTTCACTTAATCTGAATACAACAGATATGTAGAAAAGCTCCTGAAAAAGCTACTGTTTATTGGTTTTTTTTCCATTTAAATACAGTGTATCATTACACATCTAAGCAAACAGCTAAATATACTTGATCAATCAGAAGAGGAGATCTACTAGGAAAAAAAAAATAATGAAAGCATTTTTTCCTTAATTAATCTTAAAATGCAACTGGCAGAGACTTGGCGGGGAATAAGGGGGGGTTCTTTTTGGATATTCTTTGCAAGTATAACAGCAGGCAGCCAGCATTGTCAAATTCTGTAGTAAGAGGCAACAGAACTCTGATATTAGCTTTTGATATTGAATCTAAATTAGACAGTGAGGTGGAACACCATTTTCTTCATTAAAAATGGATTATGGACTTTTGTTCCTTCCTGGACTTTTTTAATGCTGAAGTAGTTCAACCTAGCCATCAAAAAAAAAATAAAATAGTTTTTAGTTTAGTTTTCCCGCCTATGTTTTTTATATCTATCCTTATAAACTAGGAAAGAAACTAAACCATATGGCATGACTAAAAGCATTCTAGTTGCATGCTTGCCTTAGAAAGTTCAATAATGTACACGCTTATAAAATACAGTAAGGACTTGCTTAGGTGCGTATCCATTTGAAAATTAAAGTATTACCCTTATTCTAAAGAACTGCACAAATTTATCATTACTGAAGCAATATACGTATATTTATCATTACATGGCAGCAGCCATTGGCATTTGGTTATTATTACAATGCATAATATAAAGTATGATATGCTGGTACTGACATGTTGCTGTATTGCTTTTGCATATCAATTGCTATCAATCATTTACTCCCATATGTTTTCTTTCCTTTAAAATACTTGTATGTCAAGGGTATTACTATCAGGTTTCTGCTAATAGTAGGATTAGAGATAAAAAGTCTTTTCCAGGCAGAAGACTGAAAACAAAAAAAGTTTGAAAAAAGAAAACCAAAAAAGCAGGAAGCCCTTCTCATAAAGTACTTGCATGCTGTAATATCTGTGAACTGTCACGTGCAAATTGGTGAGCATCCTGCCCCAGGAAAAAAAAAAAAAGAATCAACTAGCAAAGACAGGGTCAAAATGAAAGCCAAACAAAAAAGAAAGCAATGAAGATTTAAGTATAAAATTTAAGACACTAGAAAAATTAGCCACAACAGAGACCGACCAAAGCTGACGATATCACTCTGAAGACTAATGCAGAGCTTTTCATTGATGAAGGGTGGGGAGAAAACAGTGTGCAACTGGTTGACACCTCCCTCTGGCTGACTAAGGAGTAGGCAAACAAGAAAAGATATGTGGTGTAAGTGGCACAATTTGCACACAGATCAGTGCTAGATAAGAAGTGAAAAATGAGCACAAATTCAGGAACTGTGACATAAACAAATTAAACGAATTTCTCTTTTACAGCAAGTCTCCTGTGTGCCTTTCAGAAAACCACAGCCAAGTGGAAAGCATCACGGATTTGACAGAGTTGGAAGGGACCTCTAGAGATCATCTAGTCCAATTCCCCTGCTAAAGCAGGATTGCCCAGAGCACATTGCTCAGGACTGCATCCAGGCGGGTCTTGAAAGTCTCCAGAGAAGGGGACTCATCATTTTGAACTAACAAAATAGAACTTGGGTAGTAATAACAAAGACAAGGCTGAGGATTTGATAAATAGCAGAAGAGAAAGATCATTTTCTGAGTCTATTTAGGGAAACCTTAAAAATATAAATTCATAGAAAGAAACATCATCATATTTAAGACCATTCTTACCTGTTTTCAAATTCATAGAAAGAAACATCATATTTAAGACCATTCTTACCTGTTTTCTGAGGTGAAAGGTCTTTGGCTGATGGAACTTGCAAATTAACTCTGCTTGATGCCAACACTGGAATAGAGAACTTCTCAGGAACCTCAAAGAATTCTTGCATGCTCACTTCTACACTGTAATCCACATACTTCAGCTCTGGGGAGAACGTACAAGGTTTCAAAAGTGCATGTCTCTGTAAGTGAAGGAATAATGTATGCATATGAACAATCATCTCATTATAATTTCAGGTTAAGAAATGTAAAATTATACAGGCCCTAAGGGTGTAATTCTAAAACTGAATCGGTAATTAGGCAAGTTATACAGAAATTGCTTCTAAATAAAAACTGTCTTGTATAATTTTTTTTAGACATCATGCACCTGAAATGTTAAGAAAAAATGCATTTTGAGATTTACAGTAAAGCCGCCTCCTACCCACAAACCACTCTGCATGCCTTTATAGGTAATTCAGGGAATGCAAGAAAAGGGGAGAAATTACTTGAAAAGAAAAACCTATTTTGTGTCAGATTGTTGACAGATGTTTCTTCTTTTACTTCAAAAAGTTTCTAAATAATAAAAAGCATGAAAAAGAAAAAAATGTTTTGATATTTTGCGAGGGATAACTATACAGTTAGCCGAGTGAACTTTGATACTTTAATGTTGACAATATATTTCAGACATGAAAGCTTTTAGAATTAATTTGAGAGACAAATAAGCTCCTCCTTTTGGTAAAAAACTTTACTAATTAACAGCACTAAACATATTAGTGAAGGATTAGCACAGTACGTAAAGGCAAGCTTAAAATAAGCATCTAAACCTCTTAATGAACTAACTTAGATTGTGGTACTATAGCATTACAGAAATAATCCAATGATTTAATACACTACTTGCTCAAAATTGTCATTTTCAATCCCGTAACACAGCGTAATTGCAACACTCAAGATTAATTATAAACTGAACATATTTAAAATCTGAAATGAGTCGCATCTTTTTCATAGACAACTCTGAATTCATTACTATTGTGAATTATCTTGAGTGAATCCAGGGAGGAGATAAATATAGAAATATTCAGTATGTGCTAGGAAAACTGGAGTATTCTCAAAGACTATTGGTTTTAAATAATACCAGGAGAGCAGGAATTGCAGTATAAATTGCAATGGGACAAGGAATGGAGATCCATTGTGGGACTTCAAAAGGACAATTTAAAAGGAAAGTTGGTTGTTTTTAAGGATTACTATTCATGGTTATATGGCCAAATTACAGCTCAAGTCAACTAAGTTGGGGTTCTGCTTTGGGTTGGTGGTTTATCAGGGTTGGTTTTTTTTCTGTTCTGATACAAAAGTCACATTCCCTCGCCAGTTTTAGAAAGTGAACCTACACTCTGCCATTGCTTTGTTTTGACCATTAATCTGTCCATCCAAAGTGTCAATACAGTGTCAGACACAAGGTACATATAGATTTTAGGAACCTGTTAAGCTTTAGTTGCTAATATAGTTTTTTGACACAATAAATATAGAAACAGATTACTATTTAAGATTCTTGTTATATGAAGTGCAACTGGACAGATGTATCTGACAAAAAAACCAAAAAAAAAACCAAAATGTTAACATAGTTCTTTTTTTACTGTATGGTGCACCACTGGTATGGTGCAAATATATTTCATAGAAGGAACAAGAAGGATAGTTGAAAACTCGAACTCACTAATCGTTAATTTCTAACATGCAAGACTGGAAGTTCACTGGTAGTATTCTCTCTCTCACACACAGACAAAATAAAATAAAATAAAATAAATAGGTGCTAATAATAAAGTTGCTATATTGATAACAATTCCCATTTCCCTCTGATAGGACTAAAGTGACAGAAGATGTTGCAGAGGGAAAAAGGATATTTCATTCTCACTTTTAATGGCAAGTTCCAAACCAAAAGAATTACATATATATACCATTTTAAATTTGACTTTGACCTTCTGCTTATTTAAATATAAATTTATACCTACATCTGATTTTGGTTACTAGATTATTGGCTGACACTGAAATAAAAATTCAACATGATTAAAAAGTTTTGGGAAGTCTTAACTGACAAAACAATTGTAAGATGACCTTTGGTGGAGCACTGAGCAAATTTAAATTACAATTATCTTGAAGACATATTTTGTGCTTTAAAAAAAAATCACTGAAGTACCTTATTTTAAAAATGTTGTCATGATTTCTCATTTTTAAAGATACATTAGGAAAAAAGACAGCTGGTTAGTATTACATAGTCTATGAACATTTCAAATATTTCCTGGTACCTTGTCAAAGAGTAAAGGATGAAAATATTTTTAATGAGAGACCTAGATCTTTTTGAAAGGGGAAAAGAAAATCTTGCAAATATACACAAGAGTAAACCCTGTTGCCAAAGGGTAATATTTCCAAGAAAAGAGAAAATGTCGAACACAGTTCAAATAAATGCTGTGGCTACTCTCCTTCTTTTTAATATTTTTCAGGGCAGTGAGAGTTAAACAGAATTTAATATTTTGTAACTCTCATTATCAACTGCAGATCTGAGGCTGCTGTGCTACAGTAAGAAAGATTCCAACATGCACTTCGTCAACAAAATGGTTCATAATATTCCAAGTGTGGAAGTGTTATTACCAGTTAAGAACAGTATTTGCATTCAGTTCCCATAATTAATTTTTTTTAGAATAATTTGTAGAAAAAGGATTGGAGGGTATATAAAGCATCAGAATGAAACTTGATGTTTTTCAAAGACTGTTTGATTTTCCAAGGTATTTTCTTAGATTTTCCAAGGTATTTTCTTAGATTTACCATCTGCACTTTCTATGTATATAGGATGGCAGACGCTATTATGAGTGCTGAGACACCTTACTCTTTTCTTGCATATTACTGTTTTCCAAACCCTACTTTAGCCCAATTTCTTCCTTCCAGGACCATGACTCTTCTAAAACCATTCCTCATGTATAAAAGAACTTTATGATCTCAATCTCTCAGAATCCCTGTAATCAATCATGTTTGCCATCTCCCTTAATCCCATATCAAAAGATAAGTGATGTAATATAAAAGACATTGGTCCCAGTTATAACTTCGACAAATTGAAATCTGACTGCAGATTCCTTTATGAAAAGTTCATTCCTATTCAAACATATCTAATGTAACTTTTTAATTATAGTATCTCTTCAAGGACACTGTGATTCCTCCTACAAAAAAAAAAACCCACCTATATTTAAAAAAGCAAACTGATTAAACTGAGCTTTTCTGTCATCACATGGAAGATCACAAAATCCTTATTGAATCCCAGGGCACTATGAAGAGCACAAAGTTTGAAGATCAGAGCTGGACAGACGTAGGATAAGATCAGATCAATGCTGTGAATCAGCCAAGCAGCAGACCCACAGCTGCTTCTCTCCTCATTTTCCGTTGATCAAAAATTAAACTCATCACCATGATGTTCTAAGATAAAAATAGTCACATGGACAGAAGGCTAAAAAGAAAATGTATAATGTCCTCACAGCTGGAATATGACACAGAGATCTGGTGTCCACCCTCAGATGACCCATGCATTCAAAGGGAGGCAAAATGGAGCCTAAGTAAATACTTTTTACAGCTTAACTATAAGGACACATGTGGACACAGTGGGAAGTGCAAGATTTAGGTTTGATGTTCTTGTAGAACGGGACTTTTCCTTACCTATCATAATGTTTAATTGTACAAGGGGACTATTGGCATCTCTGACTATCAGGAGTTTCTAGACACTGCATGAAATTTGTGCCTTTTTAGGTAGATTCCAGAAAACAGGAAAAACTAAGGCATGTTATTTTGAATTTCACTTCTCTTTCTGCAACATCCTTCCCCCCACATATACAAGTGAAAGTAACCTAGTTGTTCCTAGAGAATTCTGTTATCTCTTTCTTCCTTTTATTCACTTCCCTCTATTTACCACCATTAGCAGCTTCAATCTAAACAAGTTATGTTCTTCCACATTGTCTCCTCTTTTTTTCCAGATACATTTTTTTTCCCTTGTTATCTATGTTCACCTAAACTTCTCACCTACAGTTTCCTCTTATTGATCATTAACAAAGGCAATTTGTAATTATTCCAAATAATGCCAGTCCCAGTCTCAACAGTAGCAGAGAGTTCCATCCTATATTCCCTTTATTACTACCTAAAAATGTTAGGAGAAATCAAATCAATGAAATACTCAGGAGATAAGAAATTAACACAATTCTATACTTAAAAATAGAATTCAGAACTTTCTTAACATTTTTCATTAAAAGCAACTAAAGATTTCATAGTTAGAAATGGGCACGCAACCAGATTATTAGTTTCTGGGATGGTTATGCCTTGTATATATTTATAGGGTGTACACTAATAGAACTAAATAGCATAAGGCTGCTGATTTTGATCTCTCATTTTCCTTTAAATATTGAGGTCCGTATCTTTGGATTCCTATTGCTTTAGCAACCTTGCTTCCTACCTCTTCATTACTTTATTTCTCTAACTGCTTTATTAAAGTTTGATGCTATTTGGTTTCAAATTTGTTTATTTTTTTAATTATACCAAGGTTTAATCACACACAGAAAAAATCCTTAAAATCCTTTAACAAATGGTTTGGATTGTGTTGGCAGTAGAGGTTACTTTTGGAGGACTGGGAAGAAGAATAGCAGGTTAACTACCAACCTTGCTGCTAGTAAGTCCTTCAGTGCCCAAGATTGTAAAATAAAGTATTAAAATTTTATTTTACCAGATGTGTTCTATGCTACTTCTAGCAGAACCGTTCAATGAGCCGATTTTAATCTCATTTGTAAAGTAAAAGATAGAAATAAAGATATAGCTAATATTCTTGCTCCTTTCCATTTAAATGTCTATTTCCAGGCTCCTCAGACTTGTTGACTGTCATTTCTGTACTCTGATTGCACATTCCAATACTGGCCAAGTTGTCACCATTTAGCACAAAAACCCAACAGGATAAATAGGTTCTGACCAGCACAACATTTTTTATGGGAAAGAGACAAAAATTCATTATTGTTTTAGCAAGTCTAATAATTAAAGACAATCAAAACAGTTCTTCATTTCTTACTGTAAAGAAAAGAAGCAGTAAAAACACAGAACAAAAATTGCTAGGACTTTCAACCATGCGTATCGATGGGTAAAGTAAAAATATACAGCACCAGGGAAAATTCTCTTCCTCTTAGTACTGGCACTGCAAACCATACTCAGGGAGCAGTCTAACTGGAAAACTGGAATAGCAGACATGCTGCCCAGCAATCTATCTGAGGCCAGGTAATTCCAGGTTCACATGGGAAATTGAAACACAGAGTGTGGCTATCATCCACAGAAGGTTACATTTGAATTCTACATGAGAAAAAAGCTTGCTTATTTGGAAATATTGCTATTATAATTTTATTCAAAATTAGTAATTGAATGTTTAATGGACTACCTTGGGAGAATATTTTGTTTATAGATGTTGAAATCATGGCAAAATATGTCTAGGTTGGAATGATGTATAAATAAGGAGCTATAGCTTAGAAGGAAGATTTATGGTTTTCCAAAATTATCTCCTATTGATTGCAAGAGAAGAAAAAGTCTTTCCCGCTCCTTTATTTATTCTCAAAATCTATTCTTTACAAAAAAGAAAAAATCCTGTTTGAGAATTTTCATTTCTTACAAAAATATGCATAAGGAAGTATACTAATACAATCTATTACAAAGAGTACAAAAGCTTTTTTCATAGAATCATAGAATGGTTTGGGTTGGAAGGGAATTGGTAGTTATTTTTCAGAAGCTACCTGAAGTAAAATATTACTGCTCTTTTTAGTTGCAGCCAATATTTCTTAATGGAAGCACTTCCTAATAGCATGGCTTGAGGAAGTAGCTTCAGAATGAACATGTAAAATATTGCAATGTGTGAGGGGAACTGGCATTAGTAACTGTCAGATTAGAGAATGTGTGAAAAAAATTCAGTTCTACAAATAAAGAACAACCAAATAATTGCAGCAACAGATTATTGTGCTTCTCACCTCTACTCTGGACAGCCCTAACAATGCAGTTGCAACTCGAACACTACTGCTCTGCAGAGTCCCTGTTATCTTTCTTCTTTCATACTCAATAGTTGACATCTGCTGTTGTGCAGCAATGGCCAGAGCCCTCTCTCTTGACTCATTGATCAATGGAATCCTCAGATTTTCTTCAAGAATCTGAGAAATACCACATTTCAAATATAAAACATGCTCTACTGCACCTGTTAAATAAAAAAAAATTAAATAAATAAACCCACCACATTTGTCAGCTGTTAGTGTTAACTGCATAGAGTATTTAAAATCCCTAAACTCCAGCGCAAATGAAATAATTCCTTTGATGTTTAGTTACATGCTATTATTCTAGTACATACTATTTAGTCCAGTAATACTTTTTGATTCTTAATAATAATGGGAAAATAAAAATTAACACAGACTGAAATCAAAATCAGAAATTGCTTTCGATAGTTAATAAAAGTCTCCAGAGTTTAATTTTACTATTATTATGATGGCAATAAAAGTTTAAAATAAAGTGTTTCTGGTACCTACACAACACAGCCATTCTTTTATCCCTCTAGGTGATGTAGAATACCCTCTAAAAGAAGCCATCAACAATTATTTCAAATAATAGCTACACTGTTTCAGAAACAGGACTGACAGCGATTTATCTCTGGCTGTTTCAAGACAAAAGTATTGGATTGCCTGTCAAATCACATCATGTGTTTTAAAACTAAAAAAATTCTAATTGAAAGTGATTTGTCCTGGTTCATCTGACTACAATCTATACTCTGAAGTAGAAAAGAAGAGAAATTATGAAAAAATATTTGTGTAGACTATGTTGAAAACAATACAAGAAAGTTGAAGAAGTTATCTAACAACCAGCTGCTGCTCTGAAAAGAACAGACTGGACAACATTAGAAAAATATCTGATAAGTACACTGTAACATCTTTCTTGCACTTTGCTATAAACAACTACTTTTATCAGATGCATTTAATTAATTTTAACAAAAATGCATGGAAACCTAAGGAGAATGATTTGACCTATTTTGCTCTTATCCTTTTTATTCACTTTACCTTCTAAGGTACTGCTAACATGCAGAACATTTGGACTATCCATTGGAAGCAATACTGAAGGCAAAGGTCTATCACCTGTTCCCTCTATCAGGTATACGAATTCTCCAATCTGAAACACAAGAACATACACATTCACGCAATTCAGAAAGCAACTCATGTTGAGCAGAAGGCAAAATACTAAATTAAAAGACAACCTAGTAATACGTAAAATGTGTCTTGTGAACTGTTACGTATTCACCAGAGCCATTATTCTAAAATTATGTTCAAATAAAATGATCATTTCAAACCCTGCTGTGATAATAAAGTACCTTTAATTGAGAGTATCGTATCTGAAAAGTCAAGAAATTTCAAGGAGTTGAATCCTCTGCAACTGTTGATATAATCCCCTGAACCATAAGTGGAGCACTAAAGTGAATTCTAATTCTGTGTTATAGCCACATATAATTTAAACATATACATGAGCTTACTTTATTGTTCTTCAATGTTAAGAATTAAAAAAAAAAAAAAATGTTTAGTCACTTTGAGCCAGTAACATTTCTCTAGAAAGCCAAAAAGAGCAGAAGGCAGGTTAGCATCATGTACAAATTCTTCATTAAGAAGAAATAAAGTTAACAAATATTAATTATTTCATTAAAAATAATAAAATACCTACAGAAGCTTGACAGTAAACATAAGCATGACATAGAACATAGGAAGATAGCATTATTCATAGAGGAAAAGAAAAATTAATTAGCAGAGAAATAACACTGAATCATAGATGAAACATAAATATGATGCAAATGAAAGACAGAAAAGTTTTGGGTTTTTTATTTAAATAAAACTACTCCAAACTATATAGGCTACAATCAGAACAATCAGATTCCAAAACTAGAAGATATCTAAAATAGGTACATAGATATCTATCTAAACTAGGCAGGAGATTAAATAGATACATTACTATTTCTTTGGTAACTTCATTTTGTTTACTGTAAACTTTTTTTCTACAACTGTAGCTTCTACTGATTGCAAGGAAAAGGATCAAACACTGCTGCAATAACTGATATAATTTGCACAGAAGGTCATCTCTTTATTTCCATTAACCACACTCTGTAAAACTCTGCCCTAAAAATTCATATTCTGTCTTTTTTTTCTTCATTTCCAATATGAAGGAAATAATTTATTTATATAATTTAGTTCATCTGTCAATCAATGCAATGCTTTCCCTTAAATATTTGCCAATAACATAAGAAAAATCTCTTTTTCATTTTAACTTTATTCATAGTTTTGTCAGCTATTTATGTTAAGGCTGAAAACATTGCAATTTCTGACCCAGCAGAAGGAAAGCTATTCAATTTTCTGGTGTTTTCTTCCTTCCTTGATTCAAGAGTTTAGATAAATCTTCCTTGAGAAGGATTAAAGAAACTTACAGCAAGATTGGTTTCCCACACACAAACTAAAAGCCACTCCTGGGAACCAATTTAACAGGAATTATTCCTGTTTGACACAGTGTTTTGGCTCCATAAGGACCATTATCAAGTTCACAGTGTACCCAAATAATTTCATGAAGGTACTGCTTTCTAGGGTGCCATTCTGCTATCAATTACTTTTTTGCCATTGCTGACATAATATGCTTATAGGTAGGAACAATATTCCCCACTTCTCTCTTTACTTTGAAGAATTCTTGCTTTTTAATCTCCATAGAATGCAAATCTTGTTCTCTTTCTGCTAAGGTTTTTCTTGATGCTTTGGAACAGTATGGGTATTTTACTGCATTTTGAGAGTTTAGCTAGTACCCCCATAGTTTTAGTGCTTTATTTTTCCATTAGCAGCAAACAGGATAGCATCAACATTTTGTAGGGTTTACTGTTGACAAAAATAGTTAATACAATAGCTGCTCAACTACTGTTACCTTTATCTATAATCCCATTGCTAACTGGTACTTTAAAAGAATGTGTAGTTACTAAGAATTTGCAGTTTGTCACACAACTCACTAATTAAGAACAGCAGATAGCAAAGTTTTCTCCTAACAAAACATTTAATTTTATAGTAGACATTTAGCTGTGAAAATCTGGACTGACTCATAAGTCACATTAACTATGACAATAAATTATCATTGAAATAATGGATTTTTCACATTGATCCCAGAAAAAAAGATATAAAGAAAAAACAAACCAGTGAAGTTAATCAATATATAAATTATATAGAGAGAGAGATAAAATTATACAGTATAATATATATTAATATATATATTTTTATATATATATAATAACCTGTATGTTAACTTCTCTAAACTTTGAAATTACAGCACAAGTTGTTTATAACATTTCTGAAGGATTTGTCTCAATATTTTTTTTTGTTTTCAAGAAAAATTGAAACCGACATTCTTCAAATTTTTATCATAGATATTAAATTGTATAAATTATATATATAATTAAATAAATAATTAAATATATATATATAATATATATTATCATACAGCATGATAGCTACATCATTTGTCAATTAGATAATGGTATGATTGAAATACTGCAGTCACATACACAATATTTAAGCAAGCCAATTTCTTCCTGTACTGTTACTGCACAGCTCAAAAAACATGCTAGCTATATTGCAGTTTTGCCTTTCCCTAGGAGATTTCTACATCAATACTGGAAGCAACTCTGGGGCTGTCAGAAACATTCTTTTCCTTTTCCACCTAAAGTACAGCTGTGCCATAGCTCTGACCACTTCTGTTAGATTTGGTTTCCTCCCATGAAGATGTCTCCATTTCCATTGTCATCATGAAATTATTTAGTTTTCAGGCTCTATACTTGATGTAGCATGAGCATCCTCAGCCAGGGCATATACTTCTCCTTCCAATAAAGAAACAAAGAGGGAGAATGCCAATAGCGGAGGTTTAAAGAAAGAGTATAAAATCATAGCAAGTAAAAGAAGATCCTTCTCAGATCTGCTCCCAGAAAGTTTTAGGTTGGGGTCTTCCTTATCTAGAGACTGCAACTAGCTATTTCACTGTGTAAAACTGATGGATCTAACCTTCATGAGTTTGGCTAATTTCTTTTGAATAATTAACAATTTCAGCATCCAAAGTGTCCTGTGACAAGTTAAGTAAGTTAAACATTGTGTATGAAAAAGTAATGAATTTGGTTCAGTTAGTATATCCTGCAACAGTCGCTCTATTAACTTTCTGCAAACTATTCATTATCTTATGTACCTGTTATGTCCCTTAACAATCTCTTCTTTAATTGCAGAAAAAATATTTTTTTCAGTATCTATCTCTATAAACTGTTGTATCCCCACATCATCCTTGTTTCTCTCTCTCTCTTTTTTCCCCTATCCCTATTTTATTGTTTGCTGGGGTGACTAAAACTGCACACAATATTCAAGATGCTTACATCATAGCTCTTTACAAAGGTATAATGAAGTTTCACATTTTGATGTCTATTTCTTTCCTATTAATTTCTCTTTTTCGATGATGCTGAGCACTGGATTGATTTTACATTGAACCATCCGCAAAGATTGCTATCTTCTGATGTGGGGACATTTATACAGCCTCTTTGTGGGTGATTCCCTGATATCAATACCATAAGGCTATGGCATGAGCTCAGTGTAGGCTTTGATGAATTATCCCTCTTCTATCTCTCTGCTAATTTTCAAGAAACTAAAGAGAACTGTACACTCTTTAAGACTTCCAGCCATATGGCTTGCTTTCTTAAAAAATGGCTCGTGGTTTTAAATATTGAATAGGGTCAGATAGACAGGCTCGGGCATCATTCTATTAGTCTTATTTTCCTTTAAAAGCAAGTTGGTCAACCTGCACAGCCAAAGTCCTGGTTAAACAATAAAAGCAAACACCAAACACTAACAGGAGTGTCTCGTTCTATAGTAATGAAAAATATGGAAGCTGAGTATATGCAGGAGAAAAAGAATAAGTCATTTAGTTTTGGATGCGTTGTTACAAATCATAAAAACGTGGCAGAGAGAATGGCAGATGTATGTAATTGCACAGGTGGGAAGCTGAAACACAGAGATAGTATTATGAAAGTAAGAAGCAGAATGAAAGCCTTGAGATCAACCATACACAAAAAAAAAAAGATCAGAAAAACAACAGGGTGTTGAGAAACATTGCCAGCTAGAGAAAAAACATAGCAGAGAGGTTAAAGGGATGAAAAGATGAACTAGACACAGAAATAGGATTGTGAGGACTGAGATAAAGGTTTACAGGGATATCAAAGAAGATGGAGGGCAAATTTTAAGCACTGAAAGTTGGTCAAAACCAGATTGTGGTAATTTGATGAAATCAACCTCAATGAAGTATATATGGCAAAACCCAGGCTACACAAGTCAAGAGAAATGGAAAGGTAATGGAGTCAGTATTCACATACAATCACCTACAAGTTTTACCTGCATTGATGACAAGGACTGAATGGTATTTGGATTGGCATAAAAAAATATAAAAGAGACAGAGCAAGGAAAATAATTATTATTCTACTTTGACAGCATATCCTAGATACAGTGATAAGTACAGGGAGAAGTACAGTACAGTAAAGACTTTATCCTTTGCCTGCCTACATCTCATCCAAAAGCATTATTTTTGCTCCCACATCAAGACAAATTATTTAAATCCATGTTTCTTTTGAGGATGAGTTGCCTAGAAAAGCCAACAAGGTAACATTCCTTGCAGTATTTTGTTTATTTGCAATGATTTTGCAGTGAAAAGTAACTTGCAGAATTTCATACAATTCTAATTACTTGTAGATAAAAGGGCAGCAAATTTTAGTTTATTTTTTTTAGCTGAAGCCTGAAATCTTACATAAATCTGTGATCAACTTCTCAAGCAACATTTTCCTCCAAGAATTATAGGAATATTTTAATTTAACAGAAAAAAAAAAAAAAGGAAAATATTTTCATTTCCAAAACTTAGCACATAGATCACATCTTTATAATTACATATGCCTGCAAAAACATTACCTTAAAATAAATACGTAACCAATTTGTATATTCATTTACCCTATTCACACTTAATTGGCAAACATATCCTGATTCTTAACTGACTAGGCTATCACATGAAAATCACTCACAGAACATACTTTCTATTCTTACCAGTTCATTAACCAGAATGACAGTGCAGTATCGCTTTTCCAGATAAAAGGGAAGAAAGTGAATATCTAAGCCTGCAGAACCTTTCCCTTCCAAGAATAGTTTTTCCATTGGACTGAAGAACTCATGCAGGAGGCTGGATTGGTCAGCTGTTAAAATAAGTTTAAATGTTTGTTTAGATACAACAAACAATGGTTGTTTAGATACACAGATATTGTAAAATAATGTAGCTGCCTGGGTTCAAACATAAGGGTATTGTATACAGCTTCCTGTAGTATTCAGCATTTAAGGCACACTAGTAATTAGTATTTATGGTTATACTTGTGAAAATGTGATGCAATATTGTATTTTGTATTATTTAAATACATTTTGCTAGCTACTTGTATTCTTATTCTGTAAACTGAAATAAAAAGAGGGAAAATAGACAGTTCTCTCTGTCAAACTCTTTAAGGATGTACAGCCTTTAAGCAAATGACTCTTCCTGCCAGAAAGAAGAGCACAGTTTACTGCTATACAAACAATCTTGCTCTCAGTGGCAGTAAGTGTGTCACTTTATAGTCTGAAACCCTCCAGAATGGACAAAAACCGATTAACAGCAAGCTTGCTCTCTTTGTGATGCTTTCACAAAGCCATTACGCTGACAAAGTGCTTTCTTCATAAGATACTAAGAATTTTAGGTCTGACTACTTTTTCGCTGCATGTTTTCATCTGCTGAGCATATTTTGATAATGCTGCTGGCAAAGTGCTTTCTTCATAAGACACTAAGAATTTTAGGTCTGACTACCTTTTCACTGCATGTTTTTCATCTGCTGAGCATATTTTGATAATGCAGACTACTTTAGAACCAGACTTTCATTCAACTTTTGCAGGTTAACCTTCTAGGAAGTTCAACAGACTTAAGAACAGACGGGAAAATGCAGGCAACAGAGAAAATGGGTTAATAACACATAAGAAACCTATGCCAAACTCTGGCCAATTAAATAACAGTGATTCACCACCCAAAACCATGAAGAACCAAGCTGAAGAAAGGCATAACCAGTACCCACCTTTTTTCTCCCTAGTCCACATTCTATTCCAATTAATATAGAAATTTCCCAATATTTACAATTCAATCAGCAGTTAAGTTTTATATGAATTTGATGTTTCAAAAGCTTACATAAACAATGACCAAAAGAAACCCTCGAATACCACCAAGACCTAAGTCTCATTTTTACCCTTCCATCAAACAGTCTAACAGAGCCCTAACAGGAACTAATTTTTAACTAAATACGGCACTAACTCCCAGACTTGTCTCTTGTTCAAGCATTCCCCATTCAAAGTATGTCAAACTGGAGCAGAGTAAATTATTTTTGTGAGAGTCCTTTCTACCCACCTTCTCTCTGGATTCTGTGAAATTAAAACAATTCTGAAATAAGTAACATTTATTAACAAAATTAGATTTTTTTTTTTGACAGTTTTCTTCCTCTTTATTATTGTTGCTCCGAGACAAAAAAAAAAAAATCCTAATTCCCATTAGTCTCCAAATTAGGACTCTTGACCCTTAATAGCACATATTTTCTCAGGTCAGGGTGTAAAACATGTGGAACACTCTTATTTAGGCTTTGTTCACCAAGTTATAGAGAGAACGATGGGAAATTATTCCCAAAGAAAGAGTATATTCTGCAAGAAATGAAAACATAATTTTGTTTACAAAGATCTGAAATGTCATCAAAAATGTCTCTGTAGCTCCAATCTGACTGAGGCCATAAAAACCTTTGTAAGCTATTCACAGATTGGTACAACATATGTACCTATCTTGTTTAATTAGGGTACCTATTTTTATTTTTAAGAACTATGTATAAGTTCGTTGTTAATCACAACTCAGAATACAATATGAAATAATAAATATATCTAGAAGTGCTAGATTATGCAGATTACAAATCTGCTTTCCATATGACTTCCTAGAAACACAACAATATTGTCCAATAGGAAAAAATTAATTTCATAAGGTGACCATACAAATTCTTCTCAAATGGACTTTCAACACTGTCAGAAAAAGCTGTAGATTCTAGATTCATATGTTTTGACAGAACTGTTGACTGACATTTCATAGGAAATAAGAGCAAGACATGCACAATCCCTGTTGATGAGTATTTTCAAAAATAAATTAGGCAAACTGCAAAGGCTCTAAATAAAAATTCCATGAAGCTAACCCATGGGCCCTTAAAAAAAAAAAAAAAA